GTTGGTCCTTAACCTGCTCTTGGCTGCTCCTCGATTGTTTTCTTTCCCCTTGGATTCCCTCTCGCCAGTTCCACCCCATTCAGCTCGTTAGTCCATCCTTTGTTCTGTTCTCCTTAAATACTCCACCTCTGCAGTCACTCAGTGCTGGTTCCTTCTCAATGCTGTACTCATCTACTCAGCTCATCTCCCCGTGGCTCCTCAGGCTCGTTTTTCCCCTGATGTCTCCATGGTTTTTAGTTAGTTTTCTGGAGAGAAGTTGCTTAGAGTTACAGAAGGCAGCTGCTTACCCCCAGGCTCACTTCTTGGGAAGTGGCCATGATTAACAATTAATGCCATACCATCACATTTTACATCATACAAATTATCAGATGAGGAAACATCCATGGCTCCAGCCTTATCAAAATATTACACTATGTTCTTAGCTGAAGGACACCGCTCTCATTTCATTCCCAAATATTTGCCATTGACATCAATTTGGACACGCTACAGAATTTACGGTTCTAGAGGTGGCCGAAGCGGCTGTTATCACCTAGAAGCTGCATATCATCACCCATAAGAAACCTACTAGAAGGTACAGTAGAGGACAGTCTGAAGCCATTCTATGGGACTGAAAACTGCTCAAATCTGCCATTTAATTGTTGATCACATTAAAATTAAATAGAAAAATTATCGATAACTTTTTCTCAACATTGCCTTATTTCAATGAGGTTAGTGGGCATGTATTTTTACATTATGCTTTTCGTTAGAGCGAGAAATTTCTTGTCATACATATAGTCTAACATTAACTCCATGACACTTCGAATACACAGAGGATTTACTGATCCAGTCTCACTGCTTTCAGTTTAAACCTTTGGAATTATTTTTCCAGGGTCTGTGGTAGTCGATGCCCCTAAACTCTGGCATGATTACAGCCGGTTTAGCCAGACCATGAAGAAGTCGGCTCTGTTAGTGTGTCCTTAGATTAATGTACCTAAATTAGTAAGAGAGGATGTGCAGCACATAAGTGCTAAGAGGGAATCTGAAAATAAAGGACTTTGAAAATGTATGGTGAGACTGCAAGGAGTAGAAAAAAGGGGCAGGCGTACAACTACATTTCAGCACCATATTAGCAGTAACACTGTGAGACTTTATGGTAAAAATTTTTTTCCTTCAGCGTAATTATAAGGTTATATTGCCACCAAGACAATCTGTTTGAACTACGGCATTCACTAAAAAGTCAGTTGGTGAATGTAAAGAGTTCATTCTCTGGGTTTAGCAGAGCACGCACTGCAGTTAGCAATGAAAACTGGATTAAACCTACCTGATATGTAACCAAAACCAATGCTGCGGAAAGACATATTGTGAGTAATTTCCGGCCGCACCGACTCGTTTAAGATAGAATCGTGCGTAATTATCCTACGTAGGACAATGATGACCACATGTTTTCACAGTTGGTTAGGGATTGCACCTCAAACAGCAGAACTCATTAGGATAAATCAGACATGTATGGATCAAGCAAAACTGGACAAGAGTTTGAAAAGGGATGATAATCTTTACATATAAAGCTTATAAAGGTTGATTTTGCATGATATATGCCGTTTAATGACTTTTTACATTAAAAGAGGCATGATGGAGTTGTCTCATGGTACTGCCACCTGTGGTCAACATGCAGAACTGCAGCACTCTTCTAATATTTCCCATAACTTGCTCTTGAACTTGATACGTTTTTTTTCTGGTTGTTGTTGTTTTTTTTCCTTTTTCACCAAACCTGGAATTGCCATTGATGTCTGAATTTAGTTGGATGTGTTAGCTTTTTGCTATACTCAAAATACACTCTTAACATTGATGCACTTAAGATCACATTTGCAGAACATTGCAGGAACTTCTGACCTGAAAATACATTCAGGAAAATGGCTACAGGCTATAGATGCATCGGTGCTGAACTACTTCGTTGTCGGTCTGTTCAAAAAATGATTATTTAAAAAAGAAAATTTGTTATAACGGGTGAAATCGAAATGACATTTTAAAGATATTTACAAGAAAAAGGTACATAATGTCTCTTTAACAAAATGGCAAATGAAATAGCTGGTTTATAATCAGTTAATTTAACTATATCGCTAAGAAAACCTTTAGAAGCAACAATAACATTTAGTTTTTAGACACAGCATTTTCTATTTTGATATATATCTTTTTAATATATAATGTAAGTTTCAAATATGTTTTTGTGTTTTATACACTTGGGTTTAGATGTAAATCATCTTAGTACCTGATTGAGACCAAATCAATATAATCTCCATCACTTTGCATTAGTCTGTACTTTTTTTCCCAAACCTTTTTTGTTATTTCGATTTACTTTATTTTGATTTTAGAGTTTGTTTGTTTTTTCAATCAGCCTTTTCTATGTTTGCAGGTACCTAATCCCTTCACTGGATCGTTCCCATGCCGGGTTCTACCGCTGCATTGTGAGGAATCGGGTGGGAGCCCTTCTGCAGAGACGCACAGAAGTACAAGTAGCCTGTAAGTGCACACGCTGACTAATGGAACAAATGGAACAGCGCATAGATCTGGAGTAAGAGGAATGGTGCATATGCTTAATTGCATGCAGAGTACACAATATGCCCACATTCTCTTTGGCTGCCTTTGTATCAAGGACTGACTGGGGAGGGACAGATGCTGGCGGGGTGAAAGATCTACCTGCATTTCATTGGAAGCGTTATCAACCCAGACAGCTGTTCCACTCAGCATTCTCATTAGATTGATTTTGTTGCCATGGTTCTTTTTAACTTTGCTTCATTTTAATATGACCGTAGCTTATTTCCGACTCCCTCTTTTGTCAACAACATCTGTTGTTTCTTTGCGGAAAGTGCCGCTCCCCTGCACCAAATTCCTGTAAATTTTTCCCCAGCCACTTTCAGGCCACTCAGATTCCTCCCGTCGTTAACAAGCTATTAGAGATGCACAGTGGAAGCGTCTGGAGAGCTGTCATGCTGTAACCACCCACAAACCTCTTAGGCTATCCCCCCCCATACCCATTCTCCTGCCTGGGTACACAGAGTTCGCTGATTTTTTTCTTTTAGGTTGCCAGGAAATTTGATTCAATTTCCGGCACAGTGTTTACCTGACAACGCAGTCAGCCAGGTGTGACAGGGAAAGAAGTGGGAAGGAGAAGGGATAAAGCAAACAGTACTGTTGACCCACATCTTTAGTGCTGGACAAACACAACATTAGTGTCAGCAACTCCCTCATTCTGCTTCTCCTCTTTCCTTAATGCATTTTGATTCCTCTATCACTGGCTCTTTGTGTTGCCACTTCCTTCCTCTGTTGACTTTGTTTTCTGACCACCACTGCTTTCTATTTATTTCTTGGCTTTCACCCCGCTGTCATTCACTCCCTCTGCACCCCTACACCTCTCCCATTTCCGTCATTCTTTTTTTTTCTGTTGCTCTTTTTTCTGTTGCCCAAACAGTGAAACATTTCGACAGAGATGAAAACAAAGGAAATTTGGGAAACCTGCATAAAGAAATGCATTCGAAAGACAAGGGAGACTCTGTAAGAAACAAAAAAGAGAAAGTTCTTATTGAAGATTTCTCCACTGATGCAGCACGACTGCATACGCAAAGACTGGGAAGGGGGAAACACAGAGAGGTATTAGAGATGGGGAAGGAAGGGATGGGGGACATCCCATCACAAAAATGTAGATCAAAGTCAAGGGGATTTGCAGACTCCCCCAGATTTTCATTTAAGCTCAGCAGCATGGCTACGGTGCAAAGCCAGATTACCTTTTTTTGTTATTCTCTTTGAAAAAGAGCGGGAGAGAGAAAAATAGGGTTTCTGTCAATACACAAGCACTCCAACATCGCAGGTTTGAAGTCCCTCACCTTGATCTCTGCACATTTCAGAGATAAATACATTCACACTTTTCCAAAACTTAATTGACTTTTTGATGTAATGGTTTGTTCATTTTGGATGAGTTTTCTATGTCAATCCCCCATCAAATTAAAGCGGTAAATACATGATTCCTTCTCCCTATGATTCTCTGCTGTTGACTGTATCAGGTTAGGGACAAATAAAGCCAGCATATTGGAGACAAATCTGTAAGAATTCAAAATGTGAGACAAACGATGGAAATAAAGCTGAGGGAAAGGTGCAAGCAAATCTGACTTAAAGGCAATTTAGCTTCCCCTTAATGTCCCTTTGTGACTCATTGCATGTCGCCTCTGAAAAAGGCTTTTATGATTTGATGTGGAAACCATAGAAACAGCACCACTCTGTCCGTCAAAGTAACATTCCAGAGCTCAAAGCGGATGGCAGCAGTCCTGAGGTCACTAAAAGAAAAATGACATAGGCATTAGTTTTGTTAACTCCATAGGTGTGGATTTTTAGCGTTCCTATGTTGGCTGTCATACCTATTGGCACTCTTTCACTTCGTGTTTGTGGTTTACTTGTCTTCCTCTAGTCATGGGCAGTTTTGAAGAAGGCGAGCGTGCTCAGTCCGTCTCTCAGGGAGAGGGCGCTGTCATTCCAGCTCCACGGATTCGGAGTTTCCCACAACCGCAAGTCACCTGGTTCAGAGACGGACGGAAGATTCCACCCAGCAGTCGCATGTAAGTCTTCTTTGTGCTTAAAGAGAATAGCATATTCATAGAGTTGGTTGAGTTTTATTCTTTTTTTTATTGGTCTAAATTTGAGATGGTAGTATAGATCTTATTGGCCAAGAACATGAAATAAAAGGGAAAGTTACTCAATGATAAGAAATTATCTTTCCATAAAGCTGTCATGATTCAGAACAGAAAGACCCAGTATTTAGGCAAGACAGAGGGATTATTCAAAACGTTTTTATTAAAACGATGGGCTACAAATCTGCAGTGGAAGCGGCTAGGGTGTCTGAGGCAAAAAACTTGGGAGAGTACAGTCCAAGCCCAGAGAACAAAGTATGATCTAGCCGGTGGGCTTCCAACTAGATGCGGCGGGTGCCGCCCAGAGTGTTCCAGATACTGCAGCCCCAGAGAACAAGCTGGAGTCCAAAGACAGGTCAGCAAACCGATCAGAATAGCAACAGGCAGGCTCAGAGGTCCAGGAATCCGAAGTCAGGTCAGGCAAACAGATCAGAATAGCAACAGGCAGGCTCAGAGGTCAAGGAATCCGAAGTCAGGTCAGGCAAACAGATCAGAATAGCAACAAGCAGGCTCAGAGGTCAAGGAATCCGAAGTCAGGTCAGGCAAACAGATCAGAATAGCAACAAGCAGGCTCAGAGGTCAAGGAATCCGAAGTCAGGTCAGGCAAACAGATCAGAATAGCAACAAGCAGGCTCAGAGGTCCAGGAATCCGAAGTCAGGTCAGGCAAACAGATCAGAACAACAACAGGCAGGCTGAGAGTTCCAGGAGTCCAAGGACAGTTCAGGCAAACCTTTCAGATGGGAACAGGAAGGCTCAGAGGTTGAGAGGCAGAACAGGTCAGTGTCAGGCAATCAGAAACACTCCAGTAAGTTAAAATCCCTCTCAACACTAGCTAAAACGAACAAGAACAATCTGAGGGTGATGACTGGATGTGAGCACTTTAAATAGAGGTAGGAACAGGAGGATCAGATGAACAGTGATTAGAAACTGCTTAGAGTTAGACAGGTGAATGGAATAGGTAATTAAGCCAGTCATCAGTGTCAAGATTATGACAGAAGCAAGATAATATCCTGTGACAAGATCTCTTCAATTTAGCTTATTGAGTAAAGTTAGAATCTTTAGAATTGCAGTGTGGACCCCAAAAAACATGGACGAAATAAAGAAAACTTACTTCTAGTGACATGTGGAAAATGAAATATCTAAAACCACCAAATGAATTGATCGAACTAACTAACTAACTTTATTTATTTATTTATTTTAAATACAGTGTAAAACGGTTTGGCTATGAAACACTTGAAGCAACACTATGTAACTTTTAGGATTAGGATTGTAACAATTCAGCTGATTGCGGAACACTGTTGACCAGCAGATTGAATGTCATGGAGTTACTTGTGAAGACATCACCACATTCACCTGTCTGGATGAAATCCTGCATGAGAGAATCAAAAATATTTCAGATCAGGTAAAGGTCAACTTTTAGATAATTAGCCCTGGTGTTTAAAGAACTCACATCGATGTTGAGTATTGTTCAATCACATGACCAATTCAGGAATGGATCTGACCCACTGAAGTTGTGTAGGCGAGATTTTAACAAGCACAACCCTCTGAGTGTCATAATTGAAGGTGACTTTGGACGAGAGCAACTACAGAGGCAGGAGAAGGTTTAAGAGGTTTTTTTGAAAAACAAGATAGTGGACATGAACTGGAAGCAGTTTGGTCTGGTCAGGTTCTTCTGGGCTTCTGCAGAGCAGATGAGACTGGTGAATGAGAGGAAACTGTGCTGGAGGATTTTGGTGGGGCTGACACTCACAGTAGAGAGGCTGTGGTCCGGTCTTGGGGGGGAAGTGTCCCCGGTGGTCCGTGTGCTGACCAGTACTCTCTCCCTGGTTGGAGGACTAGGCTTGGGTTTGGGAGGGCATCAGTTCGTTAACGCCACAGCGTTAACGAACTGATGCCCTCCTCCTGGTTCCAGCTCCTTAAGAAGGGTAGTGATCACCTCAGATGTAGTGCACCTGCCCGTCCATCCCTGCAGAGGAGAGAGAGAGAAAACCTGGCCTGCACCCGGATAGAACCCGGAGTGTGACACTGAGAGTATAGATAGAGAACAAGTCCTGTAGATTGACCTGAAAAATCACATGTATCTCTAAACAACCCTATTGATACAGTCAAAGCTGCATGGAGCAGTTTAATTCAAAGCATATTGGATAACAATGTTTAAGTCTGGGCCAAAGACTAATTAAAAATATTAGATGCAAAACTTGGTTTACAGATTTGCATCAGTTCAGATTTAAAACACTTACCTTTTCCAATTCTGCACTATTTTGTGTTGATTGATGACTTCCAGTCTCGATAAAACCCAAAAAACAATTTTTTTTTCATAATCAAAAGGTTTTACTTTAAAAAGCTCAAAGGGATAAATACGTTCATCACTCTTCTTGAGAGGAATCATGTTCTCTGCTTGTACTTGGATGTGGGCAGTAAAAAGTCTGTAATCTCTGTCTCATCACATCTGCATTTCTCTGCAGTGGGAGGTGACCTTGCTCTTAGTTAAAGCGAATCTTTCTTATCAACTCCTCTTCATCAGTAATCATACCCTGACCCTGAGTCTCACTGTGAGACAAGTGGACAGAGATTGTAAGCAATAGCTGGCTTGGGTAGATCTTGGAGAGTCTGGGTGCTACAGTTTGTCTGATTACACAAACTCTGGATAACTTTTATAAAACACCTTGAAAAGTGAAGAGTTTGGTGTGGCTGGACCCATTTGGGTGCTGTTTATGTTGTTAGTCATGAAGAATGTTAGCTGATAAACATGTTTTTCTCGTATTGTATGATAAAAGGACTTCATAGAACTGTTATTCCCATGCAGCATTTGTCCCTTTTATTTGACATGTACATTTATATGCAATCTTTCTGTTTTAATTGCAATTGCCCATATTCTAGATATTGTGCATTTTATGGCTTTGTTTCTGTTGCAAATGTTATATCAACACCATTCCTTGATTTTTAACTATTAATGGGAAGCCAAAGAAAGGTCATCTTTATATAGATAATTGTTGACAAAGTCAGTGTGTTTAATTTGAATTGGGCCAAAAAGGTCACCTTCTATCAGCTGATGAACAGGATTAGAATAATTTATACATCTGCAAGATAAGGGTAGTGCTGATGCCTAGCAGCAAAAAGGTTCTGGGTTTGATTCCCGGCCCCGGGTCTTTCTGCAGGGAGTTTGCGTGTTCTCCCTGTGGATGCGTAACCTGACTCCGCCAGATGGATTTGCTCCGCATATCCATCTGGAAACCTTCTGTTGAAGTAATTTTGGGAAGGGGCGAAAATACTGGTTAGCTGATTGGCCTATGTTGGTGATAGACAGGCCAAATAAACCAATCAGATCAACGAAGCATATGACGTACTAACAGAGCGACGACGAAAACACAACCACAAGCCAGTCGGGAGAAGAGCAAAAACATCTTTTCCTCTGAGAAAAGCCTCCAGAGCAGTGTTTTGCTCTTCTTTCAGTGAAGAAATACTCTGTAATTCCGATAAAACTTGCTCGATAGCCACGCTAACGCTAGTTTCATCGGCTGAAGTCACCATGTTCTTTAGACTGAACTGTTGCGCTACTCGTTGCGTCACTCCTCAACCCGCCTCAAAGCCAACGCTGATTGGACGTTCGTTTGGTGAACGGCTCCAAAATTTTCTTTAACGGAGAGTCTCCAGACTCATCTGCGGGTGAAACCTTGAAAGCTGGTCTCACTAGGCTAGTGGATGCGTGGGTTCTCTCCGGGTACTCTGACTTCCTTCCACAGTCCAAAAACATGACTGTTAGATTAATTGGCTTCGGTGTGTGTTGACAGGTCATCTTGACTGATGACCTGTCAAGGGTGTACCCAGCCTGTCACCCATACACTGCCATGGCCCTGACAAGGACTAAGCAAGGAGAAGATGATTGGAATGGATCTGCAAGATGTTGGAAACAAATTTATGAGTTTATTGTTTTGTAAAATTAATTACTGATTGGTTATTCTTGGGTCTACCTAAAAAGTTGATCAGACAGCCTCATTTGTTCCAGAATATTGCAGCCAGTGTCCTCCCCAAAACCAAGAAAGTGGACAACATAACCTCAATTCTATATTGGCTTCCCATATCTTTGAGAGGGGGATTTGATTTAAGATTGGACTGGTGCTCCTCATGTCAAAGGAGCAGCTGTGAGAGCTCAGGCTTGTGAATGTGAGTGTTTTAATAGCCCCTGTTTTCACAGTGACCGTTTCCAGGTCTACTATTGGCTTAATGTGGAGCATTTTGAGAGTTTGTCGGGGAGTTAGACCAATTATACAAAGGATCAGTACACATCAGACACAAACGAAACTAGTTTCTCCTCTTTTTTTGCTCTCTCGTCTCCTGTCTGATTAAAACAATTTCTGTCAAAGTTCAGGATGGTTGAACTTTGACCTTTGCATGTGTGGTAGCCCCTTTTGTGTGCTAGCTTTGCTTGATGCAACAAGTTTGCATCTTTGTGTGGAGTTTTCTGTTGAAAACCCGAAACCTGAAAAATCTGAATGGCCCATTAGCCTGTAGATCACTGAATGGCTTAGTTCTTAAATACATTACAGACTTATTGTCAGGGTATCAGTAGCTAAGCTCCTGGAATGCGGTACAAAACCAAGTTAAACATTTTTTATTTCCAACATGGTCATATGACATGTTTAACCGCAATTAGATTAATTACCTCATTGCTATTCATCTGTCACACAGCCACTGGAAAGAGAAGTGTAGTTCAATCCAACTGCAGGCGACCGGGAGATCAGCATTTTACCACGCTTAGGTCTTCACTCTGGTCCTTATGGGAAATGCTGTCTTCATTCACGCAAAACAATACAGCTTTTGTCCACTAGCGGGAGCCAAAATCAACCAAAACTGAAAGCTCTTTAGTACTGCTTTAAACAGAAATATATCCATCTATTCTAGTCTGTTGTCCAATGTTTCTTTATTT